TGTTCAATAGCTAGGTCACAGATACCAAAAAACACCGTTCAATAGCTAGGTCACAGACACACCAAATAGTTGGTCACAGAAACACCGTTCAATAGCTTTTGTTGGGTTTTATATTTAAATAAAGTTGGTGGGGTAGGTAGTATGGTGGGTATATATTTAATTTAATTTAAAAATATTATTATTAATATTAATTGTGAAATTAAAACTTGATTTTTGATTAAATAAAGTAAAAACCTGATTTTTTAAAAGTCAAAACTAAACAGCTGGTTTAGTGTAATTTCCTCGTATTTTTGAGAGGCCTAGGCTCTACAGAAACTTCTACTGTACCAAATCGCCACAAACCGAGGGCGAAGAAACCACTTTCAGGGATATACACTACGCCAACGCAATACTGAATCCATTTTCCTTCGCAAAAAGAAGTCCATCTTTCAGCTAGAGCTTCAGCATCCTCCACGGAAAAACATTCCACCGTCCTCTTTGTCTATACCGCCAGAACCACTCCAAACTCAGCCGAGATGGCTGCCTCTGAATGGATGAATCATCCTCCCATGTAACCGTTACATCGGTATTTAACTGTAGTCCACCCATAGGGATTATTCCTTGATTTGTAAGTCCTTGCCGGGGACTTCCACGAAATAAAAACTTGCATGATACGTATGGTTGGTCTAGTACGATTTTTAATTAACAACGGGGTCAATTTTGGCAGTATTGAGCCCCTTGTTCGGTAAAAATTAAAATCTAGATTTTAATTTCAGTCGAAGTCAAAAACTTATTTTAACCACATATTTTATGGGACTCAACTTTTCAACCATACGATTCATGAAATTTTATCAAAATTTACTAAAATCTAATTTTAATCCTCACTAAACAGGGACGGAATGAATAGCTACAAAATCGCTGTGACTTCTCTAAGCTAAATTTTAATATTTCTCTAGTATTGTCGAGAACTTGTTTCACTACCTCACAAGATAATGGGACAAAAAGAAGATAACAGAATATAATCATTTTCAATTTATTTATTTTTCCTCTTAAATAATGTTTTTCAAATGAAAGTAAGGACAGAATAGAAAATTCCAGACAGAAGAAATCAATTTAAACATGACAAAATGATATAGAAAATCCTTATTAGTTAGCATATAGAAAAATCCTTATTAGGTAGAATATAGAAAATAACACATTTTCGTAATTTTATTTTATGAAATGGATTAGGTTGGTCCCAAATTAGGTGGTGTAGGGGATGCTGTCTCTTTCTCCTAACATGAAATTTTTATATGCACTTTGACATGTTTTGTTTGTAATATTGTATATAATTGAAGGCATTATAATAGAATGGATTTAATTTTTTCATCTTCATACTGTTCAACATATAACATTGTTGTTTTATCTCTGGATGGCGACTTAAGAGTCAATCAGTATATGAAGCAGGATAAAGCTATTTTGTCAGAAAGATTTGATAGAAAGCCTGACATAATTGCATGTGGCAGTAGATGATTGGATGTAAAAACTGAATGGCCAAAACAGAAAGAATCTTGAAATAGAAAGGTGCCCACAGCCTCGTATTTCCAGCTTGAAGAATACTGCTCTTTCGTGTAGGGCATAAATCTCAATAATTATACCTAATCTGGTTTTAAGCTATTAATAGTTAATATTTTCAACTGAAGAAGATTGAACAAGTTTAAAGAAGAAAGATGTACGACAATATAAGTTAATTGTCGTGTTGAATCGCGTTACTCATTCACAAATATGGTGTAAAAGATTTTATCGACAACCTAATAAAAAAAATGAGTAAATTTAACATAAATTCCTCAAATATAAACTATGTTAATCGCGTGCTCTATTATCTTTTGAGCTATGCACACCCACAGCTTACTGTCTTCATTGGACAACAATTCACAACATTATCAGTCCTTTAAAACCTTGGCTAGACTTGAATTAGGGCACAACCAAGGGCTTCACTTATGAGACAGGACTATCGAATTTGATCACAACATATCGAACCCCAAACCACTCAAATCACAAATTTTGATGCCGAGTCACGTGTCAGAGAGAAATAGAGTGGGTAGGTAAACTCACTCAATGTCGTGATTCCAGTGATTCGGGATTCGATAGGTTGTGATTTGAGTAAATGGTCATATCACGTGTGCATATAAGATCATTCTATTAAGACTTTTCTCCTTTACTCGACCCACAGGACTATCATATATTAAAGTGTGGCATAATTGTTCGGGCAGTGGACCCTTTTTTGAGCCTATCTATGAATTAATTTATTCGATTTCACTTTCTGTTTATAGGCAGCCGTTGTGGCATCCTTTTCTCGTGACTTTTTTCAATTATTCTAATTTTTAAATTCTATTTTGTTTCGTCAAAGACTACACATTCAAGAACAATTTTGGAAGACATTGAGCATGCTCTCTCTGAACAATTTTTAATGCATATTTTAAGAACATGTAACCATATCATCTTGCATTAAAAATCTCTCTCTAATTAGTTGTATGTATCTTCCGAATTTCTAATTTTGGGCGTCTAAGTTTTTCAAATTCAAAAGTAGTCTTGTTCACACACAACAGTTGTATCAAGATCTCGTTTTTTTCTTTGCTTTTGAACGCTTTCTTTTCCTTTATCAAGTCAAATGGAGGTGGAGATGGAGATCTCGTCTATTTCTTCAATCTTGAATGCTTTCTTTTATCTATCAAGTCCGATGGAGGTGGTATTTCTCATTAACATCGTTTTACTAGAAACTTCTACATTTTGTTCGCTCCTTTTATGTATTTTCCAAGGTTATGCGAAACTACAATTCAATTTAATATTTTATTTGTTTGAATATGATCAAATCACGACTCTATTTACCCGTAACAAAAGATGATAAGAACAACACATACAATCACCCATTCATCATAATTCATACATGTCACTTGCAATCAACGAAAGATGGAAAAAGGAAATCCAAAGATTATCGAAAGTAATATTAAATAACATCAAACATTCAATTGAAACAATTATCTTCCTTTTACTTTTCTAATACAATAATATCAAAGAATTAGAAAAAGTTATAAAAATATCAAGCCGAGAAAAAACTTACGTGAAGTTACGGCAAGTTTTATTTCTTGTTTTTTCGGAAGACAACCTCAGTGTCCAAACCAAATCCATCGACACTCCTAACTTTAACAACTTCTGATTGTTTGAACAATTCTATCAACGACTTAACATTGTACAAATCATTGGCCGAATACTTATCTGCCCGTCGCGATAACGTCACGTGTAAAACGCAAATCCCGTTGGGCTTCAACGTTCTTTCGATCTCTCCGACGAATTTCTTAGGATAAAGTGCATGATCAAAAACGTTAGAGAACTCAAAATCAAAAGTCTCGTTGTCAAACGGCTGATGATGAAAGTCACCCTTCATCACCAATGGAGGGTAAGGAACTAGATCTATACCCACGGAGTCATTAACTCCGACCCGTTTTAATGCAGCCACTTCTTGCCCGACACGAGCTCCAATACAAAGCGCTTTTGACTCGTTAAACAGTAGTTTTCTCTGCTTTAAACTGTCGAAAAACCCGGAGAAAACATGGACTTTCCGGTTCCAATCCCGGGTGGTCCATATTTGTCGGAGTTTCGGGTTGAGGGTCTTGTTGAGCTGGCGTTGGATGTAGGCATCGTAGGAGGAGTAACCGGGTCGGATCTTGAGGTCTGGGGAGGGGTCTTTTTTCAAGGTGTGACGTGGGGTTTGTAGAGAGAGAAAGGCTAAGAGGGATAGAGAGAGAAAGAGAGAAAGGATGAAGGGCTTGACGATGAGGGGTAGTTTTGGAAAGTCAGCTGGTTTCATGTCTGCATGGAACAATGCTTATCTCTGCATGGAACAAAGAACCGGATATATCTGTTTTTTAGACGGAGGGAGATAGAATGCATACATATATACGTAAAATGAAATGAATACATATATATACACGGGAGGTGGGTGGAGGGCGACTATGCAAAGAGTTGAGATTTGCTGTCTAATTTTATTGTTCAATTGACTGACCTACCAATTAATTATTAATATGTTATCAATAATTAATATACCACTTCAAATTTATCCTCATTAACTTCACCACCAACCCACTAAATTAATGACATGTTAATAATTAATTGGTTGGACAGTCAATTGGACAGTAAATCTCAACTCCTTCACTACAAGTCTACAATCTATATAGGTTGCACAAGAGTCGAGATCTGCTGACCAATTTTGAGTCCAATTGATTGGCCAACCAATTAATTATTAACATGTCATCAATTGAGTGGGTTAGTGAAGGAGTAGGTTGGTGTAAAAGAGAAACTGATTTTAATTGAAAAACTGCAAATTAAGGACTAAGTAGCAAGTATTTGGCCTGTAATTATATTTGCAGCCCAAGCTCCAAAACTTTTATTTTGGACATTGATATCCCAAGGGTTTGTAATACTCGCGTGAGTTGAACTTGCCACTTTTGAGATGGGTAAATAAGTAAATACATAATTTGTATAAAGAGTTTAAAAAGAAAATAGTTAAAATATAATTTATATAAATGAGACAAAAAGGGCAAAAAAAATTATATCTTTCCCCAACCCCAACCTAAACATGTGACACCATATTCCACACACCGTCGTCGCCACCCCGTCTTTGACACATCCCCTCCCCACCGCTGCAGTTTCTCAACCCCAAATCCCGACGTTGGCAATATCAAAAAAATTCAATGCTTGAAAATTATGAAGATTTCTCTTTTCTAGATGAAAATACCTAGAGACATTTAAGGATCATTCTCTTTGTGTTTCAATTTTGTGTTTTGAGTTTTGAATTCATTTTGTGTTTTGTGTTTTGAGTGTCTGTTTTGAAATTTCTGAAAATGCGTTATTTTTGCCATTTAAAAAACTTTTTTGAAAACATAAAAATGGAAAACGCGTTTACTTTGAAATTTTGAAAATTTTTTTAATAATATTTTTAAGACTTGTATGCAAACAATGAGTAGCCCTTTGGAACAAAATGAATTTGCCATTTCTATTTTCGTTGTTGCCAGACAGGACTAAATTTAAATTTGGCAAAACAATTCAATCGATACGATTAGAAGTTTACATGTATGACGTCTTGAGTAGTCATTCTACATGTGTGTAGCAATTTGATCCCTAACATAATGTTTCCACTTCATCTCATGAGTAGTCAAAGGAAGTCCGATGGGTCCAAGTAGGAAAAAATTCACTAAAAATTGGACACGTGTGATTTTTTTTCTTCGATATAATGAAAGAACTAGATTAGTAGTGACCTCAAGTGTCGAATCCCTACCCTACGCAAGGCAAAATGCCAATTCTTTCAAAAACTCTCTATCAAAAGATCATAGTGGACACCAATGGAATAACTCAGCAATTGATATAGTGAGATAACAACTAACAAAATAGAAAAATAATTCTTCTACCATTTTTTCTTCTTAGACAAATATATAACGAGGAAACAATATCATTACCTAAAAAAATAATCAAAATGATATCATATACACGAAGAAATAATATTTGTTATAGCAGAAATCTGTTTTAACAACTGCACTAGGTATAATGTTCATACTACAGCCAATCCTTTGCAAAGAACATAAAATTGAAACACAAATTGAAGACTTCAAAAGCTCGTGAAGAAAGATTCATCAAACTGAAACAAACAGCTTCAAGTGAACTGTGGAAAATAATGAGGCGGCAAACATTCTAACAACCCCTTTATGTCTGACGAACAATGCATTATTCCATGAACTGTGGAAAATTCAGTTAGAACTGATACATGCTGCTGTGAGGACACATCAGTTTTGAATCTTGAGGCAAGATTGAAAGACTTAAAGCTGTATTATAAATATTAAATATAAATCAAGCCTTCATTTGCTATATCTGTGTCCATCAGATGTTGCCATTGTGAAGATGGACACACTCTTCCCTTACCTGTAAAGATGCAGTATTAATACAAATCTGAGTAGAAACAACAATATGAGTTATGAATTAACTCGACACTAGACTAACAAGCCCAATGACCCAAGGATTTGTACTTCATAATGCTTGCGAGGAAAAATGCAAACCTCCTTTTAAGTTTTGTTATGCAACCAGCAATTCACAAGCTAGTGCTTGCCCCCAGATATTTTCATTTTTGGGGGTATCTAGGCAATAATTTACTAGTATATTGTTCTAGTTATATTTGACAAATACGTCCACACAACATAATAAATGATAAATAAATATTCAACAGAATCAATCTTTAGCTCATAAGATATATATACTTTCAAAACTAGTTCCCAAAATCAAAACAAATAACCAATGATTTCAAAAATTGATTAAATTCGCTATTGTCAAAATTGTCAATTCCCACAAATTATATATGCGCATATACTTCTGGGCTCTAACATGTTATCTTTGTGTTTGTGTAGAAATGCATACACGGAGGATAAAGGTTCATTCTGATTCTTGTTTTCAACAAATCAAGTTGCTCATCAAATTCTAAAAACCCTTTTCCACAATCCATGAAGAAGACGTAGGTTAAGACACAAGAGGGCAGAACAATGATTTGAAGAGCAGAATTTTCAGATTCAAATTCAATTTTTACACCAAACAAATAACAAAACAGAGACGAAATCGGATCCAACAACTATGATATGGAATAGCAAAGAAATAACCTAAGATTATCACAAGCAAAGAATCAAAACCTTGATTAGAAGATGCGATTTTCAGATTCAAACAGCCTGTCGAGAAGCCTTCGATTCGGAAAAACCAGCTCAAAACCTTGATTTGAAGATCCCGTAGACAACCCTTCGATTTGGCGTCCGGATCTGTGTTGATTTTGGGTTGTGGGTTTGTGAGAGGAAATTGATTTGGGGTTGTGGGTCGGGGAAGAGAGAGGGAGAGGGTTGAGAAATGAGAAATTCGTTTCCGTGTTTTGTTGTTTTAGTCATTTTCTGTTTTTAGTAGTTTTTTTTTTCCATTTTTCAAAACGTGTTTTCGAAAATAAAATAGAGAACGCGTTTTCGCTGTTTTTAAAAATTAAAAACAGAAAACGACTTGAAAACGACAAAGAGAACGGGGTCTTACTCTTCGAGAAAGTTAGAAATATGTAATTTACATAACTAATTTGTAGATGAAATCCATTTAAAGGTCCTTGTGTTAAGTACATATGCAAACATATAGGATGGTAATGTCAAATATAAAAGGTATGGGACCTCAGTGCACTTTTTGAAAATACTTGGAACTCTAGCGACAATTCTTCCATTTCTTTATAAGGAAGTTTAATTTTAAACATTCATGAATATCCATTTATTTATAAAGTAATACTAAATTTAAACATTTTTAATGAAACAGTTTCATATTTAACTCCCGATTCCACCAAAATAAAAAAGGATTATAATTTGATTCAAAATCAACACTTAATTTTAATCATATAGTTCATAAAATTCACAACTTTTCAACAAAAAATTCTATCAACTTTTATCAAAATTTACTGAAAAAATAATTTTTATGTAAATCAAACAAGAACTTAATAAAATTAATTTAAGACTAGAATTGTATAAAAAAAAAAAAAAATCAAACAAGAACTTGCTAGAATTAATTGAAGACTAGAATTTGTAACGTGCAATTGTTAGATTACTAGGGTTTATATGAGTATATATTATTATATTGGGAGTTGTATTTTAATTCTTTTTTTTATATAGTAACAAAAGGAAAACTTGTTAGAATAGACAAATATGTTAGAATAATGTTATCTACCATTGGTGGCGCTAGAGCATTAATTTAAGTAGCCAAATTTGATAGGTTTAATTAAATAAACTATGTAACAATGTGTTCGAATCCTGAAATATGGATTTAGTCATTTGATAAGTGCAAGTGTACCAACAGCCTTCCACCTTATATCCTTGGAGGCATAACCTGCGATTTATCTCCTTTACCAAGGTCCGGGCAGGGCAGGTGGAGACCGTCAAGGATGCAGCTCATCTTTTTTTTTTTTAATTAGCACATATAGTCCTTAACATTTGACTTCTTCGTGAATTTAAGACCTATCGTCAAATATAATAACTAATTAGCACAGCCCCAAAGGTAGGATCTTGTTTTCGGTTTCAATTTTCATCCACTTCATTGGCGAGGAATTGATGGAAAGCGTTCGGGTAATCCGGTCCATTTATCACAATAACCTTTTGACTTTTTTTATTAAATATATTTAAATTTAAAAAATCCACATTATTCATTTTAGCCCTATATTGAACGTCCGATCCATTTTTCACAATAACCTTTTGACTTTTTTTTATTAAATATATTTAAATTAAAAAAAAATCCCCAATATTCATTTTAGCCCGATTTTGAAAATTTGAAAAGCCAGGAAATTTTCACCCACCACAAATTGATCCTTCAAAGTTTCTTAATCAAGTTTCATCTCCATCTTGATCTTTATCTTCATCTATCATATTGTGTGGTAGAGTTTATAGTAATGGTTATTTTCTTCATTTTGTTTTGCTAGTTTCTAAATTTTTTTATTTTTTTGCTTATAATGTTATTACGTAATGTGTTTTATGCTATAAATTTATCCATTACGATGTAACACTTGCTTTGATATTCAAAGATTTGAACAAAAATATTAATCTATAGTGTTATAGAAGTGGATTGAAGTCGCCGTCTGCGAGTCTATGAAAAAAAATGTGACTAGTGAACACGTGTGGCAATGCAGTACTCAAAACAAAAAATTCCACTTGCTGTTATTTTTTTCTAATATACTATTCGATACACCCTACCAAACATGTCTTTTTTGACATATAAGTATATATTTTGATTATAACTAAAACAACCAAAACTAAGGAAGACAAGAAATAGACAACTCTTATCCTTCATATTCATTTCATTACTCGAAGATTTTACCTCATAAACTGTGTAAAGCAACAGAAGAACAATCTAAGAGCATGTTTGGCAAAGCTTAAATTATAATTTAAGCTGATCAAACATACTTTTTTTAAAGCACACTACTTACTAACCACTTATTATCCACACATTCCATAAAGCCACAACTTATAAGCACTACCAAACAAGGCTTATATAACATCTAGTTAATGAGTGGATCATCCTGTGATTATCAGCAGAAGGGAATGGCGGAAGAAATTAGGAAATGAAGCGCTTAGAAGCACAGTGCCGTGCAAAATAGACACCCTTAGCAACCACAGACCATAATCTAACCCCACCCCACCCCGCACCCCCCCTCCTCTCCCACAACCCCAATTGCTCTACTGAACAATCAACTCCTTCCATTACTAAATGAAGTATAAAAGAGCACATATTTCAATCCTATCCCCATCTTACAAAAGAAGAAACTAAAACCCACTTAGCCTCCAGTTTGAGATTTCTAATCTCATGCTTATCCTCCGCCCAGATGCAGCTTCCAATTCCTAACCCCCATCCCCCCGCATCGGTTCATGCATCCGACTAGAGGAGTCCACTATCCTATTCTCGAGCAAATTGGACTTTCTGGCAGTAGTGTACACGTGAGCTATCACATGCTGAGTAAATAGCATCGATCTGAATTTGATCTTAAACATAATTTTATATGTTCTTCAAAATCTGATACTTCCTCATCTCACTCAAACTAGGAAAAAAACTTCTCGGAGACAGATATAGGGATCCTTTCTTATTTCAATATTATGTCTTCCACATTTGGTCTTAATCCCCTACAAGCACAAGAATGGCATCAAAATGTGACATTCCAAAGATTTTATATCCATCCCCAATACTTGTCCTTGGCCTGAAGTTATCGCATATTTTCCAATAGATAAATAACAATTATTCACAATTTGTCAAACATACAAGTAATCTACCCAACATAATGCTGAGTGGTGAATTTTGACAATGGAGAGAACATCCAACGACATAGAATATGCTGTTTACCACAAAGTATCTACATCATGATACAAATACGCTGAAAGCAGAAAACGAACAGAGATTCTAAGGAGAGAATGACAGCTACTCGTAATCTCATATCAATCTAAATTTAAATGAATATTCACATCACACACAGCGTACGATTCCAAATGAAACATTCCAAGAAAGTTTCAAAGACATTGACTTGACGACGCATGACTACATACCAACATCAGAAGTGAGGTGCAATACTTGCCTTTCACTCCCTTAGAGTTTAAGTTATTTGTTAGACTTGTATCACTGTCAACCTATCACCTGCATAAAAAACTAACTTTATTTCGAGAGATTAGACAAATAGGTAGGTCTTGATAAAAATTCATAATATCAAAAGCTCTGTCTGTGTAAGTGCATGATTCTCAATTTCTTATGGACATAATGAAATGATTTTGCTGCTATACTTTAAGCGCACATTTGATATGCAGTATTAGACTAAACTGGACATTACAATAAACAAGATTTTAGTTTCTATTTATAGTGTCTAGTGCTTTTTAATCCACCTCATCAAACATGTTATAAGTGTGCACAAACACTACATACCGTCACTTTACAAACTAATCAGACATGCATGAAGCCAAGCCTGTATCCCATTTACACATCGTTCCAACTTTAATCATGTTAGATTTAGCAGCATCCAGCAACGGATCTGTCTCAATTGCCTTGTTGAAGCAAAACTTAGCTTCCGCCCAGCGACCTTCAGCTACAAACACGAGACCAAGATTATTATATGCAGGAGCATAACCCGGCTGCAGTTCAAGTGACTTCGCAAACATTGCCTTTGCGAATTCATATTTCCTTAATTGCCGATAGAAATTCCCGAGGTTGGAAAATATGGTGTGTCCCTGTTTCGATGTAGCCAATGACAAGGCATGTTTATATACTTCTTCTGCTTGTGAAGACTCTTCCAATAGCTGCAGTGAGATACCTAAGATGCATAGTGGCATAATGGGACATAAAGGCAACATTTAGAGAATCAACAGAAATGTGAAGTTGTAATGGAGAAAAAAAGGATAACAGTTTCAATTACCGAGATTTGACCATCCATAAACAGATTCTTTAAGACGAGCAACCGCCGCCTTCAGGTATGTCTGAGATGTTTTATATTGTTGGGTACTAAGACAATGAAGACCAAATTGGTGCCATTGTACAGCATCATCTGGGTCTTCCCCTATTGCCTGATTCATGAGGAAACAAAAGAGATCGAATAAGAAATAAAGGACTGAACTTTAACTCAGCCTTCACTTCTACAATCCCACTGTGACCACACTTCCCTTTTACCTTCAAATATGTTAATTCTCATTTAAAATTATCCTGCTGGATCAAAGAAATGTATTTGATATAATTCACAGACAGAGAATATAGATTAGTAAGTGAAAATTAACCTGCTTTAGACTGTATGTAGCACGTTCTTTGACTTCCAGCAGTTCATTTTGTTCAATATCAAATCCTGCTGCAATCTCGTGTTGGGCCTTGTGGACCATAGCAAGACCTGCCCATGCTATTGGAGGCTCAATTAAGACAGAATCTCCTTCTCTTAATATTGACGCCATTTCATTTCCAGCCCAGGTGAGCTGATCATTTGGATTCTGAGACCTTTCTGCATCTCTGATTCGGTGAACTCCAACAGCATATCGCGTGGCTAAACAATTGGGCTCCAGCTTTCCAGCCTAGAGAGCAACAAGGATATCCAAAGAATTCTAGACTGTTAAAAAGAAACAAAATGGAGAAAATGTCATAGAGACTAATCCATCATCAATGAACACTTGCTAAGAAAGCAGGGAAGAAAAAAGATAACCTAAGAGGAAAAGATTTACCTCGCTAGAAACCTAAAAAAAAGTAGTATTTTGTATAAAAAGAAAACAAAAAACCAAATAAATATATACAAAAATAACAATAAAAGCAAGGAGCCAAAAGAACCTTCTCTAAGCATTTTCCTGGCGTTCTATGATCACCAGTCAAATAATATGCATTAGCCAGATTTGTCCATATATGAGCTGCTCTGGGATCTGCTTTTGCAGCTGCCAATAAACATTCCTTGGCAACATTGGCAGCTGCAACCTGATCTGCAGAAGTCCCCCCTTCAGCATTCGCCCCAGCACCTATATACGGACGTGAGTTTAATAATTATCTCAGTATCTAAAAATTAACAGGGGAAAGGAAAAATGCATTCAATGACGTGACTCTAAAATCTGTTCATTCTATGTCGACAATAAACATACACGGGACTGGAAAAGAGAATATCCTGAATTCTGTTCAATTATCAAAGTGATACCTGCAACAACTGAACCATATCTGCACAAAAGAGCAGCAGCATAGTTGATTAAAGCAGCGGGATGATTTTGCTCTTTTAAAACCAAGTCTTGGAAACATTTTTCTGAAAGCTCCAACTTTCCACTGGAAAAAAGGATTGTTAGTAACTGTCAAATTAGTGTTAACAAATAGATGAAGACCAAAAGGAATTGAAATGATAAAAATATATATATGAAAGTTGTGCAATGTTCATCGCCAAATAAGTGTACTACAAATATATATGAAGCTTAAAACTTAAAAGCAAGCTGTTTAACAGATAGCTTTCGAAGGCAATAAAAGAATATTTTCACAATTTCAAAAACAATTCATTTATGATGAAGCTCCCATTAGTCAAACTTCTGAACCTTGTTCAGGTACTATTCCACTCTGTCACTATAGGCTTGCATTCAATTATGGCAAAAATGTACTATTCTACAACTAACAAATTCATCGACCAGCAAAAAACTACTACACAAATACAAAGAATATTGAAATTACATCACTAGTTACTCCTTACCTTTGAAGATACGCGACTCCAAGGTTACCAAGACAATCCAAGTTGTCGGGGACAATATCCAACAGAGATGAAAATACTGATATAGCACCCTAGAGAAGATATTAAATCATTTTAAATCAAGACATCTTACTAGGTAACATGATCATGCTGATAGACAGAAAAAGAAAATATAAGTCTATTTGCACCTGCAAGCGACCAGTTTTAAGAAGTATCAGACCAAGAGTATTCCAGACAGATGCCTGTCTGACATCAGACTTCATAGACTCCCTCAACTTCAAACCAATTTCATCAAGTTCTTGAGGTTCGAGTTCTTTGTCCAAAGTACAATTCTCCAAGCTTTCTAACAGTATGCACTTCACGAGTGATGAAACAACGAATGCATGCAAGTGAACAGTAGTCAACCAGGTGTTCATAGTATAACTAAAAAGAGAATATGTTCATTCATGAATTACAATTGTTCTTTTCAGCTAAAAGTTAGTCCACCTGTGCATGGTGAATCTGAACCAGTGATAGCAACTCAGGCCGGTCAATTTCCTCTTCAGAGCGAAGCAATATTTCTGCTGCTTTCTCATAAGCCAGAATCGCCTACAACAAAATTTTCAAAGATGAATGCTACTAAATGCATGCATGTGGACTAAAGAAAAACCAGCAAGATCAACAGGTACCTTTTGAGGTTGACCCATTCTCTGATACATTAAACCAAGTATGAAATGAGCGTGCACGTTCTTTGGCATCTTTCGTGCAACGTGTACCAACCCCTAACAGCATACATGTCAGTCAATGCTCACAACACGTAAATCAAGTCGAGATAATAAGCAGAGGTGCAATAACTTATTAACTAAGAGTTTGTGAAATGTTGAAAAATGAGTCAAAATCCTGATCCCCCTTTTGAGACTCATTCCATTCGAGAGCTGAGATACAAATAGCCTATGTTAGCTCAATCATACTGTTGATCTAAAGGAGCAAAAGCATATTTTCACTGGAACCTTCATTGTCACCTAAATCTGAGTCATCCAAAATGTAACCGAGATTATTTCTAAGATGCTACTGAAGGAGATAGAGATAGAAATAAAGATAAAGATAGAAGTTAGATATGATTTTTATAGAGTTTAATTCAAATAAGGTTTATTTTGATTTGATTATATTAGATTCAATAATTCGATAAAGTTCTATTTATTAGATATTCTTTCGATTTTAGTTTCTTTGCTCTCTATATAGAGGGTTGATTCAATGTAATGGACACCCTTGAACATATAAGATAAATTGATTTTTCTCTTGCCCTAATTCTTCTTCTTCTTGAATCCTCTTTCTTTCTTGTTCATTGTCAAACTATTACGCTCATACGTCAATTTGGTATCAAAGCAAGTTCTTTTCCTTTGGCTAAACAAATCTCATTTCCAAATCCGATCTCTTCACACTCAAAATAGCCGGACAGTGTCCAACAACTACATTTCATACACAACAACCTTTAGCGCAAAATACAAAAAGAATTCGTTTCGATAGCAATCAAGGGAGCAGTTTTTTCCTCTTTTTAGTTAATTGAAAAAAAAAAAAAAAAGAAGTCAAACACGCAGGTTGTTCACTGTCTTCGTAGTTCTAATCCACGAAAAAATAACATTAATTTGCAGAATTGACGTCACTGCCCTGATTTGTTGCTCCATATGGCATATATCCAACCCACCACAATAACATACTAGACCCCCAAAACAAGCCCATCTCACAAAGCCCAACCCATAACCACCCATTCAACGCCAAACATCCGGCCCAATTCAGAAACAGTTCAATCCAACCCAACATCACAGCCCACATATACCCAAAACCTAACCCATTAACCCCAAAAACCAAGCTCAGCCCAACAAACTTCAATACACAGTATAGCCCAATCCAATAAACCATATAGAAATCGCAACTAACAATCCACATACTTAAACCACTTGTCCAATCAAGGGGACCAACAGTTCAATAACCCAAAAACAAAACTCGTCCCACACCTTGACCTATCCACACCGCCAACGCTACTGCCACTGTCACTGCCTCCCATCGAAAGCCACTTTCATCATCAATAACCCACACAACTCCATCACCCTTCAACTTGACCAACCACAATCATTACCATAGCTGTGAGTCACCCAGTTCAACCACCATCATCACCATACCCCCTGTAAACTTGAATTCAACCATACCCTCCCACCACTTCCAATTATCAGGCTACCAACACCCTCCACTGACCATGGCCAGTAAACTCAGCCTGTCACCGGCATCCACAAAACAACACAACTTGCTATGCCATCTTCAATCGACCAACCATATTTCAACACCATCTCACCTATCAAACCGACCAACGACCTGCAAGTATCAGAAATGAGTTCCATCGGCATCCCCGCCCACCACTATCACTCTACCACTTTGCATTTTGCAACCCCTATCATCCCTTCGGTTCCACCTCCATCGACTCGCGACAAAATAAACCGCCAAATCCTCCATCGCCAAAATCGTCTGTCCTTGACACGGCCAACCCCACCACCAGCTTCCATCGCTACTATCCACGCCTATCACTGCCAGCCGCTACCATTGCCAACAACCCACTTCCAACCAACAACTCCCACCTATTTTGGTTTCTGCTCTATTTGATTTCTGCCTCTGTTTTGAGTTTAGGTTACTTAAAAAAAAAGAACAAAAAGTTTTAAAAAACATAATTTTTTGCAACATTTACTACACATGATATGTTTCCGTTGATTACACCAACCGCTCAAGAGAATTCAATTATAGCAGTTACCTTCACTTGTGTGCTCTTCCACAATAGTCGAGGGTCGTAATTGGAACATCATTTGGCTCGTTTGAGCCTCGTGAGATACTAATTTCTTTTATGTTGAATTTTTTTACTCTTATTTAAGTGTAATATAGTTAAAAAAAAAAAAAAATTCTAGTTACTTTTTCATTTAATTAAAAAAAATTAAAAATATAACAACATTAATTAAAAATTTTGATATGTCTTGACACTCCCATAACATCATGTACTATTCCTATAACAACTCTTATACCAAGCCCCAAGGTAGTTACCAAACAGTTTGTATTCCCCTTCCCTTTTCTGTTCTCCTTATCAATACAATTATCCCACGTCTAGAGACTATGTTGACAACATTCGTTATTCTTCCAGGTGAAAAACCTTACAACTTCGAATCATTTCTAGATTGGCTCAATAATCTTAAAAAAGAAATGCGACTTTAATAATTTGAGTGACTCTCTTCGAATTTGTCGTGCTAATATGTCACACGTCGATTTTGTTACAAGTTATCATTTTTACAGATTCGTCTAAGTCCACGTCCTATCACTTTGTGGGATGAGATGAAATGGATATTACGTAACAAAATATGTCCATGTGTTAATGGATAATTGCTTAAATCAATTCCTTTTGCATTGTAGCAAGGTATATCCACTGTTAGTTAATATCTTGCCCACTTCAAAAAGCTACTGCACAATCATCATATTTATAAAGCTCCCTGCAATTATCATATTTATTAAGCAACAAACATGCCAAGTGTATAATAGAATTCAATTGTTATATCAATTCTTTTGGCATTGTAGCAAGGTATGTCCACTGCTAGTGAATATCTAGCCCACTTCAAAAAGCTAATACGCAATTATCATATTTATGAAGCTCCCCACAACACAGTGTCTAGGTTTCTAGTGATTGAACTCTAAAATCTTGCCTGACCACATTCGTGCACCCCAATTCTTAAATGAAGCTTACCGACAAGTCAACCTTTGGAACTTATCCTTCTGCATTCATCGAACATGTAAAAAACTATGCATACCACTGCAGTCATGCCAATCACTTTCTAAGTCTGATGTTGTTATTCTCCTTATGAAGAAGAAAATGAGGTTCTATTGTTGAACATATTGACTAACTATTCAGATAGCAAAGATGAGAGTTTGATACTTGTCTCATATTCTCTCTTACACAGATTTTGGAGATAATTAACCATGATACAGTTGCGGAATTACTCGTAGAATTACCACCTAATTTAAATATTCCATTTCCTCGAGCTCGTGCCAAAATTGATATCGCTTAATCCTTTACATACCTTTAAGGATGACTTTTTTATGGCTTTCTATCAACTGATTAAAACTTCTTGGGCAGCTACAAATTTTTTTCAAGCAATTATCCATTTACATACTCTTTCTATTGATATTTGAAAGTTGCCAATTAATTATCGACATATTGTGTTAGATCTTCCATTTTCTGTCAATGTTCTTAAATTTCATGCCAAGATAAAAAAGATAAATTATTTTCAATCATTAAATTATTAAGCTTACTTTTGAAGAGCAATATAAGCTCCAAGACTTTAATTGTGATCACTATGCTTTATCGAGTGTTCCTTTGACTCGATTTTCTTAACACACGAAGAAAATATTTTTTTATCATCACATAAAATAAATTATTTGACTGTTCATCACAATTGAACGAAAGTTATATTTTCCATATAGAAAAATTTTTCTTATCGGGATGCATTCGAGCCTTCGATGTTGCAATCACTTTTTCCTACAGGCCAGTCTTAAGTGCTAATCCCTTGTGCTCCTTATTATTCCCAGTTAATGGAAGTTTCTAAAGTACATAAGTTTTCATTTCTTGGAGTTCCCTGTTGATACTCGGTTAGAAGGAGAGGCCGTCCTCTTGGTAAGATCGTATTCTTGGGGATGATTTACACATTTAGTTGTTGTCACATAATCAATTTCAATATTTGATTCATAAAAAAGATCATCCCCTTGGTATAAGTTTAGCTATGTTGCTGTCAAGAATTTAGTACAGTCATTTGGTCAAAACAAAAGATTGATCTCCTTCAAGTATGAAGTTCCAGTCTACTTCGCTGAAGTTGAGTCTCAGCTAGTGAGAAATTATGGAAATAGATATAAAGATAAAGATAAAAGTTAGATATGATTTAATATAGAGTTTAATTCAAATAGGTTTTTTTTTAGATTACATTTAATAATTCGATAAAATTCTAGTTTATTAGATATTCTTTTGATTTTAGTTTCTTTGCTATATATATAGGGGCTAATTCAATATAATAGACACCCTAGAATATATATGATAAATTTATTTTTCTCTTGCCCTAATTATTCTTCTTCTTGGATTTCCTTTCTTTTTTATTCGTTCTCAAAATATTACGCTCCCACGTTAGCTACACTTAACTCCCTACCCATGAAAGAATATACACGTGTTGTCCGAGTTACAATGTCAAAAAATACTGTAGTTCAATCCCTCACAATTAGAAAATAGTGAAGGCAAAAACAGATGAAAAATACCACATAGAGTTCAGGCTGCCGTTTTGATCTCATGTGTCAATTTCCCCCAACATTTACATTATGTTCACTTACAGTTTTTTTTTATTTTTCAAATCAATTTTCTCTACGAAGTAGCATTGCAGATAAACAAGGCCAGGGTGGAGGAAGAAAACCTTCACACTGGAAGGATGTCGACCTTTGTATTTGGTGCTTCAGTGCTTGTGTATTAACTTTTTTTCCTGTCGGGTATATTGTGTGCATATTTCATTTCATTTCTTATTTCCTTGATCTTATGGAGATAATGTGCAATAGCATATCAAAGAGGTAAAAAGTTGCTCACGGTTTTGAGGCTGCTAACTTTTTCCTCACGAGAAGTGGAGGCCCCTTGACCATTTTGTTCAGCATCTATATCAGCTCCACTGCAATCAGGAGGGTACTCAGATTTACTACTTCTTGAACGGCATTTCCCCAACCTTTTCAGTTGTGATGCTTCTGCATCCATGGCCGCCTCTGCATTTCCCATCAAGCTCATTTTAACTTGACTGTTCTCATCATTAATAACCCTACGGAGCCAGACAATCACACACTATATTAACAGATAATAGTGAATTTTCTAAATGACTGACAAAGTTAAATGTTCTCTATTTGTTTCATATTCAAAACTAAGCTGAAAGGTTGGGTTTTATGTACTTCTTCAATAATACCCCTTGACAAGTTACATATTTGGGCGACATGTTTTTACTTTGAAAGCACTACAATTGGGATCATCTTTTCTTGGCTAATCTCGTCATAATCACCCTACGGGGCAAACAAATTCCACCACAGATGGAAAGTAAAAAAATTCCAAAAATAGACACCAATTTAAACTTTGCTCCTATCTCAAAATTGAAAATCATGATTTAACTTGTCTACATTTCTTACATTAATCTTACGAAGTTTTGTTTTATGCACATTCTTCAATAATTTCCATCAACGAGTACTTAAAGAGATTCATTGGGCCAAATCGGGATCATTTTGTTGAAGTAGGCAGGGGATTCTATGTAAGGAAAGTGAACATTAATTTCAGATGTTGCCCAAAGGAAGCCAATCAATACAGAACATGAAAAATGCTTGTCAATCCGGATGCCGCTTTTTGTTGGTTCTTTTTCAACAAGCAGTTAAATTAACATCCAGTGTTTCACAATGTACTCCAGAGAAATAATCTTTTAACATCGCAGAGTAAGACACATTCCATATTATATTTTCACACGACAAAAGCTCAAATTTCGGCAAAAACACACAAATAATTGAAGCCCATTTACCAAAAGCAGCATTAAATTCATCATTTACTTCCCTATATACCTTTATTGCCATATACACACAAAACGTTTTTATTCATCTTTATCACTTTTGACTTAAACCCACAACAGATATACAACAGAATATAAAAAAGAAATTACAAAACTCAATCACATGAACTAAAAGAGAAAGACCTAGAGACAGTAAGAGAAGAAGTAGATTGGAGGTCGGAGTCCAGCGGCTCAACGTTAAGGTCAGTCAAAACAGCGAGTTTCGGTGGCTGTGGAGTCGGCGCATGCGGTGGAGGTGGCTTTATGATGGCCTCGTTAGCCGGAGGCTCCGGTTTCACGGCGGCAGGGTGAGGTCGGGACATATCAGAAAATGTAGGAGAGTAATTTTAGCCTGAAAATGTTGACTGAAATAGGTTTCGGTTTGTTGGGGGTAGGCGGTGAGTGAGACCATTTTGGAGATTTTAATTTAAAGGACCAAAATAAGGAGAGTAGATAGAAAAATAGCCCTCTAATTCTCAAAGTAAATGAAATACATACATAAACTGAAAAAAAAAAAATGAGAATGAGAATAGAAGTTTAAATAATGTTCTATAATCTAATTCAGAATTTTTTGTTCAAGTATCAATATATAGAACAAATAGAAAAGCAATTAACGAAGAAAGTAATATATTATTCTTATCATCGTATCGTAAATTTCAACTTTCAATAAATTATAATTATTTGCCCCTGTTTGACAATCATTAAAATAAATTTTTTTTTCTCAAACTCATTTTTTAACCATACATTTTCACAATAAAATATTTTGCGCATAAATCCAGAACTTTTTTCTACTTTTTAACCATGTATCCTCCAAAAAAAATACTGTTTAAAAAAAAAGAGGCTCATTTTAATATTGTCATATAGGCATGTCAATTGTTCACTTCCAAATTTTACATGTTAGACAAACAAAAATGACTTTACCACACTGAGAACGAAAATTCCTTCCTTTGGAAGTGGAATACTAGTAAACTACACTTGTAAGCATAAAGTGTAAAAGAATTTTCGAAAATGATTTCTTACGTGCGCCAATACTATATGGAGATGAGATTATTGATTTGTCAATCTAGTAACTTAAAAAGTTCAGATTTGACTGAACTTTACCAGATGAATATCCAAGGAAAATCCCATCTGTTTGCGTCCAATCCGTCCCTTTAGTTGGCCACTGGGCAACAACCTTGAACGCAACCCGACTAGTTCAAAGCCACGAGGTAATGTTTTATATTGAAATGCCAATCTGATCGTGCAGAATTATCCTTCAATCCAACAAAACTACAAATAAAATCTTATTCTCAATAAATTTAAAGTCTAATATATAAATCCTTTTTACATTCAAATTCCGCATCAAACATGGGCCATAATCCACTACTTCTATATTCTAAGTACAAGGGAAAAATAAATAAAATAAAATAACATGAAAAGCATTTCTAAAAGCTGTCATAAATGAGCCGAAAGATTTGCTTTTATACAACAGAATAGCCTTTGAAGTAACAAACTATCCGAAGGGTTCAAAAGATAATCATCCATTGCATAGAAGTGCACAAGAAAAGTAACATGTATAGGGAAAACTACATTTCTTCTCAAGAACTCACGGTAATGCTCGCCACAACATCTGTGGCAGTTGAACCAAATGCCGGTAAGAGCCAGCCTCTTTCACGAGCACAGTCCACATAAAACTCGAACTTATCCTGTGCATTTGGAATGTCAAGAGCCAGATCATCTAGCCCGTCCTTGATCCTGTTGAAACCTTTAGTCATCTGAGTGATAGTTATCAGTCCCTCACCGAAGCACTCTTGGAGCAAATCCAGCATACCGTCGTTTTTCTTCTCCATTGCCATAACCAAAGTTTTCTTCACCACCTCATGATTAAAGAAAGGCATGCTCAGATCACGAATGCATTGACAAGCTTCACTGACAACGCCACCACTTTCGTACTCTTCTAGAAGCTTCTGAATCTTGTCCTTCGCATCCTCCACTGCCCAGCCTGTACCTCCGCCCCAACACCTCAGGATTCTCTCCCCAGCATGACGCGCTGCTACAAGTGATTGAGCCATATGCACGGTTTCACTTCCGCTGCAATTTGGTGGCAACTTACTGGCAATCTCTTCCACATTCAAGGGAGCGAGGACATCATCTATAACAGCCCTTGCCAGGAAAAAAGCGAGTTCATTTGAAGCATCTAAAATGTCGAGTGCAGTATCTTCCGCAGATTCCAAAAGCATAACAAAGCCATTGACCATGTCTTCAGTCGAGAAGATCTCAATATGAAGTGCTGAAAGCAAAACTGATGCCATCTCCTTCTCTCTATTTTTCCTGTCCATGGCTAAACTGATCAGCTTCTTGAGAAAAATTGGATTATGCTCGGGTGTCCCAAGATCTTCCAAACTCCGAATCAATTCAGGAATATCATCAGAGAGGAAGTACTCATGAATAATGGTAACAACCTCTTCCTTGTAGCGGAATAAGTTCTCATCATTTTTGTCCGGTTTCTCTCCATTCTCGCCCAAAGGTTTTAAGTAAGATGCATCAAGCCATCCCTCAGATATTGCCTGAGAAACAAAGGTTTGGAACAAGGTCTTTGCAGAAGGAATATCAAGGGCAAGATCATCAAGGCTCTCAGCTAATCGAGTAAAACCTTTCACCATTTGACTCGAACTTATCAGACCCTCGTCTGCTGCCTCCTTTAGTAGTTTCCGGATGAGCGGTTCTGCTGTACTTATCTCCATTGCTAGAACTAATGATCTTTTCACAACTTCATGATGAAAAAATGGAACACCCAACTGTCTAATACACCTACAGGCTTCAGAAGTATCTCCATTCTCTACATATTCCCTTAAAAGCTCAGCTATCTTTTTCTTCACTTCTTCAACGGTTAGATGTGTACTACCCCATCGCCTCTCCACAAGTTCTGCATGATGCGGTGCCGATAGATAGCTTTTCTCCGCAGTTTGCATCACCTCGAATCCCTTGGAGGTCTCTAGAAGCATTTTTCGGGCCCTGGGGATGAAAGACGGAGGTAGAATATCGTCAACCACTGCTCGAGCAATGAATAAAGCAAGGATGTCAACGGTATCCAATATGTCCACGGACAGATCATCAGCAGATTCAAGAAGCATGAAAAACCCTTGACGAATCTGGGTTGAGTAGATAACATTGGCATAAAGAGTTGAGAGCAGAACTGAAGCCATCTCCTTCTCTTTGTCATGTCTGTCCATGGCAATGGACACAAGGCGCTTAACAAAGTAGGGATGATACTCACTCGATCCTAGTTCCTTGAGACAAGAAGCAGCAACTTCTACATCACCAGTGCTGAAGTATTCCTCTATGATGGACACCACGGCTTTCTTGTATTCATCCAACGGATCAGAGACAGTTGATCCAACAAGCTCATATGGCTCCTGTTGGGACCGATACAAACAAATAGCAATGTAAGTAAAATTATATATAATTAACTATAATATATTTTCCTGCTCCAAAATTCCACGCACCCAAGCATGAAACAGGAGAAAAAATAATGAATCATCATATGATTTACCTCGCCACTGAGAAAATATAATGAATCTTCATATGATTTACCTCGCCACTGTCATAGTTGGGATCGTTATGATCAAGAAAAGATTCACTATCAGTATCAAGGAGTTTTCCCCAGGTACCTTTACCGCCAGCGCCATCTGTTTACCATCAGATTTCCAGACAAAACAAACCACATCCGTAAGACAAGAAGCACGTACAACAGTTATAAAATGCACTCCAGGACTGCTACTTAAGACATTATTGACATATTAACATGATGAAATATCATTTGTCTATAGGCACTCCATATTGTAGCTATTATGCACAAATACTTCACAGGGCACAAACTGAGTCAGAACTAAAAGAGTTTCATGATAAATATAAACAGAGACCAGTCACTGACATACATACATGAATTCTTGCTTTTTCTCCAAAAGACAAGCGACGTGGACTGCAGACAACATTAAATGAAAAGGCGAGCAACTGCATAACTTCATTGTAAATAGCCAAGAAATAAGTTTCGAGACAATCATGAATTTTAGATGTCGGCCCATGTATTAATTGAAGCATAATGACATGCCTTATATGAAGAGGATGTTAACAGTCTTTTACATCATTATAACATGTTGTCATTATTAATTTAACTAAAAATTTATATTTACACAACCTGAAAATGTGGAAGGCATCAACAAATTTTCTTCAAAAAATCTGAGGAACCATTCATATGCTTTTGAGAGATACATAGGATGTCAACCATTAAAAATTCCTTCAACACCCAATAGTTCTCAAATAAAAACATTTAACGACAGACCACTGAAGTAGACAACATTTTGTAAGGAAAATAACATTTGAGTTGGGTTGGAGAGGATCACATAGTCAAGTGTACCCATTCCCAGGCAGGTGGTTTTCAAATGTGAATATAAAAAGAAACAATATGTAATACAGGTGATCAAATTCAAATTTACCGAACGTGATGAATATATTTACGGTACTTTTTCTACCGTTTTACTCTAGAAATTGTCATATTATAGCGTATTCATTTATCTTTTTTTAGTTCTCCATTTTGATCCCTAAAGCATCTTAAGTAGGTAACATGTCTCTAAAGAATCTCAGATTCTTGTAATATATCCCTTAGCACAACTGAAATAAGCAAAATGTGAATGTGTGTAGGTCCAACACGTCCAACACATTCCTGAGCAATCTAGCTCCAATTAACATTCAAGTTGCCTAGGATCTATGATGCACCGACATGGACACGTGTCAAATACGTCAACACGCGATTTTTCAAAGAAGTACTGACATGATACGTCGTTGATACGTTCATTAAATTTTTTAAAATTCTTCATTTATATAGTATAATTTTAGTTTTATACTTGTTATTAATTCTACTTTTGAAATATTTTAAATATGAGTACATATTTGTTATTTATTAATAACTTTTGAGTTAAAAATATATAATATTTTAAATAAAAAAAATGAGTCCGGTGTTCGAAACGTGTTGGACACGGACATAGTACTCTAGTTGAAGTATTCATGCTACAGAGCCTAGGATACATGATTATTCCAAGAAAGTGTAAAAATAAATGAACAGTGGATCTTGAGCAGCCAAAATCCAATATCTACAACCACGAGAAAAGCAATAATAAAATTGTTCTAGATGGTATAATTGCATACGACTATGAAAAAACATGCACTTAAAAGAAACCTTCGTAGTCTGTTTACGCTGTGTTTATTTTAGCAAGATTTGGTTCAATTAAATGACTTGAATTTTGTATTCAAGTGGGCAATCAAATTGTAAGGCACAATTCAGAAAAGAAAAGAATATGTAGTCTATACATAATTCCCACATTAAGTGATTATGCCGCCATGCAAACAAAGATTAGACGGTCATTTCAAAACTTGCATCTTACTAAAGTAAAATGACATATGTTGTGATAGTGTTTGTTAGGTACTAAACTGTGAAAAGGTCAGTGCAGGAAAGAACAAATTTTGCCATGAGTACCCAAAAATCATGTAGGCTAAGTGATATGAAAATCTTATTGCATCAAACAATTTCGGTGGGGGAATGACGTGTCACCATGCATTACAATGCTCCCTACTCGGGCCACTCTTTCCCAAGGACATGGGTACAAAAATGAATTAGCACGTTGGCCAAGTAATTACAAATCAATTACAAATCATTCTGACACATTCCTTAATCCTCATACTGTCGTACAAAAATGCAAAACAAAAGTGGCCTGATATTTTGTCTACAAACATTAACTCCTTCCCTGAATTATCAAGGTCAGATCGAACTTTACTTCACAAGAAACTATCTCATGCAAAATACATGCTTCTTGCTCTATATGTAACCACTCAAAAAGTCAGCCATTAAAACATTAGTAATGAAAGTCATAATTTAATTAATATGCACACAGCCCTAATCAGATGGAGAAATAACAATGCAAGTTCAATGAAATTACATTAAACCTCCGAGTATGGTTGAATAAAACCAAAACATTCTAAATGCTTTCTTTTGATCAAGAGAATAAAATTGTGTTTCTCACACCATAAAAGGATGTTTCTTTTTTCATTTCAGTGTTCTCCAAATATAAGTAAGAAATGTTTAACTAAAACCACATTGTTTAAGCCTCTGAATGGAAGGCTACAGTACGGAGTCATAAAATGAAAGAGCGACAAGGCACATTTTTCATCTTCAACCTCTGATGAGCGACTAAATAAATTAAAGAAAATTCTACCACAAAGTGAACCATAAAAATTATTTAACAGAAAAGAAAAGCTATTTCTAACTATCATGGTTAACCATCATTATTTTCTTCAGAGCCTTACCCTTCTTAACTCGTATAGATTTCCCTGCATGTGAGCGGCGCACATGTCTTACAGCCACGCCACCCGCTGCAGCAGACTGCCCACCATTCGGAGCCTTAACGTGGTGGTGCTCGGACAGCACAAATGACGTCCGACTTGGAGACCTCGGGCCAGTATCGTTAGGCGATGCCGCCAAAGATAACGAAGAAATTATCTCCGCATTCTCCGTAGCTATTCTAAGCATCTCCCTCTGCCCCTCCGTTAAAAACCCCTCTCTGCTCGCCATTTCCTATCCCTAACCAAATCATCAAAAACTAACACAACATCAAAACATTTCATTACACCTTATATTTCGATACTATGTCATTTTAACGTCTTTACCAATTAATCCTTCAAAAAGATTCCGACCCAGAAAACTAACAGTCTAAATTGGAAACCCTTTAACTTCAAATCAATTACCTGTGTGAATCGGGTAGAAAACTGCCACAGTTCTTGGCTCGGATGTCGAGCCAAGAAAGGATCCTTCAAAAAACACGCAGAAATCCACTTCACTGTGCGTATTCCGATTGAATTAGCGTCTGAAATTTAGTTTTATACAGAAAATCTGTTTGTATGTACCAAGACAATTATGGGTTTTGTAGAGAGGTGCGAGTTTTTGCCAGATAGAAGAAATGGATGAGAATGAAGGGTTTATATAGGGAGGCTATGGTTAGATGGACACGTCATCACCTAAATAAGGGTATGCACACGTGGCGTTATGCCTAATGGATGGGTTTAATTCTTAATTTTCATCGTGTATAGTCCAACATTTCAATTAAATATGAAATTATATGATTAAATTGCACTTTTTATTTAATGGGATTCAGCGTGTGTTTGTCTCCCATTATTGTAGAAAAAATAGAATAATGAATAATATTTTTTGGAGAATATATGGTTGAAATTTAAAGTAATTTTATTGGTTTGTGTATAGAATATTTTATTGTATAAATGTGTGTTGGAGAACCTTATTGTAGCAAACAATGTTTTGGAATAATGGGAGACAAGCGAAGCCTTAGTATCATCTTGTAATAACAATAGTATTAAATAACATTATTCGCCTGTTTATTTACTTCACTAATTTTTATTTTAGTTGTACTGTCACATTAGTCTTAACGTCTATTTACATTATTGATCTTCACTTCATTTTAGTTCTATCGTCACGAAAGTCTTAAACTTTAAAAATGGTTCCATTTGCATCATTGAACTTTATAATACAGTTACATCACCGTCGTGAAATGTTAAAAGACACGTAGACAACTAAAAAATTCTATGATATTTTAGTATAGTAGTGTAACTGAAACTATTTTTAAAGTTTAGTGACATAAATGAAATAATTTAAAATTTTAGTCAAGTAAATTTAGTGTTAGAGCAAGGGAAATTGACCGCGAAGGGATGCATTTAGGTTCTCTCGATGGAAAAACTCCAATGCGCTCATTTTCAATAAAGCCACTATATTGATCTGGTGAGTTGATATCAAGTGCTTGTTTGGTAGGGATTTTGGGGGGAAGAATTGATTTTTGAATAGTGATATGATGGGAAATGTGTGGTTGAAAAAAAAGAAAAAACTATTGATTTGATGGAAAATATTATTTTATTGAAAAATGTATGGTTGAAAATGAGAATTGATTTACTCTAAAATTTGAGAATAAAAAACAAACAGGTCACAAATATTAATGTTATAAATCACTTAATTTTCATATTCATTACTCAACCTTGATTTGCTTTAATTAAATTCCTCCATTTATTGAAATACTTCAGTCAAACAACCATCACATCATATATTCATGGGAAAATTGCGGCCGCGGTCTCAAACATTTCATTTTGTTGCAGATTATACCCAAACCTTTAATTTTTGCAGTTGAAGTCCCAAATCTTTGTATGTAATTGCAGAGTCGGTCCAAAACATTTGTATGTAATTGCATCGTCGGTCCCAAATCTTGAATTCCGTCCATAAAACTGTTAGTCAACGTTCAAATAGTAATTTTGACTAGAAAAATTTGCAGCTCTGGTCTCAAACCTTTTATTTTGTTGCAGATTACACCTAAACCTTTCATTTTTGCGGCCGAAGTCCCATACCTTTATATTATTACAGCGTTTGTCCATTTCACGCATTCCGTCCATAGAATTGTTAGTTAACGTTCAAACAGTAATATTAACTCAAATGACATCTTAATTGATAGGTAAAATTGTCAAAACAAATTATC